TGAAATATAATGTGTGGTATCAATGATGTGAAGCCGGGGACGCTAAGCACTGCTAAGGTCGTCAAATTTTTTTGTGAATCCATATGTGCCCATTTTATAACCTGTGTTCGTTCGAGATATCACAGCCTGTTTGCTGCCTTTGAAGCGCCGGCGCAGAAGCATGGAGGTTTGAGTGTTTGAAGACGCGCGAAAGGCAGCGGGGCGGTTGGTTCCAGAGAAATGTCTCGAGATAATATATGTTTCATATCACATTTATATGCGAATGAGCGTTTATGGTGGGGATAGGTGAAACATTATCATGTTAATGCCAAAATCATGTGAGAGTTTTTTGTATTTCTACTTGCTTTCAGGTGATCCTGGCGCAAGAATAAATCGCGAACATACGAAAACCTCGTGTTCAGCCTATTTACATTTATCATTTCTCCTGCAAAACTCCAACCCCACAATTCTGAATTTCAACAGGAATGAAGTGTTTGAGATGGTCACCTGGACACCATTTGACGCGGAACAATTACAGCATAGTCGTAATCGTAGTAATCGTCATAATCCCGCATGGCAGGACGTCGCCTATATCCCACTCGTCGATTGCGCCTAATCGGGCGCTCAGTTCGATCACGGTAACGACGTGGTCTGAAATGGTGAATAACAAATGTATAATGTAAGACACTCTATTCAGCTATCTATTTTGAGTATCACGAGAAACAGACTAAGCTGCTTTCAAGGAGGCGTAAAATACTAAAACAAACGTTCTGTCGTACCAGTTTTGAAAATTCATAGTTTCTTGATTTCTCAACAGTTTCTGTAAAAGAGGAAAATTCGCTTTGTAAGCGTGTCCTAGCGGCCAATGAGCACCAAAGATACAAACGTTAGAAGAAATTATTGAAATTTCGATTTTTTGTCCGGTCGTAAAAATCGCTTGCATTAATAATCGATGCGAAATAAAAGGTTTCATTTTGTCATTTTTCTCGGAGGTCATAGCTTTTCGCCGGGACGCGCACTCGTCTTTTCTAAGGTTAGAAGGAGCAGCTAATAGAGCCTATAATACCAGCTGATCGGTTTATTGTTTCAAGCTCTAAATTTTTAACGAGCGAACAGAAAATCAAAAATTGCTAATCATTTTCTACTGTTTATATCTGTGCAATATTTGCCGACCAAAAAGCAGCTAAGAAAACTCCATGTCACGATTTACTCCTTCATACATAGTTAAAAGCAAAGTCATCAAAGAAGAAGGAAGTCATGACTGAACTTAGTTGAACACAACTTTTCCAAGCTAATATAGAGCCACTACTAAGGCTACGGCTTCAGAACAATTTCGCAGATACGACGCCTAATCAAAAATAAGGTATTTTTAGAGATATTACAAATAATTGTTAGCCTACCCATCATTCCCTTCCCATTCGTACTCATATTCATCTTCTTTCTTGGTGTCATCCATGCGACGCTTATTTCTGCTCTGACTTCGCGCGTAGCCTGAAACGCAAGAGATTTCTGAGTTTAAAACTCAAGACAAAATTTCGCAGAAAAGGATTTGGCCTGATCTTACCTCGAGAACGCATACGATCTGTTATGCATGGTAGTCGATGAATCGTAACAATGTACTGTATTCTAAAAAACCAGGAAAATTAATGGCGAACAATAGATTCATTTTCCTACAAAACAAACACCTGTTATCTCCAGTAACCGATTTTCGCACTTCCTTGATTATATCGAACCCTCCAGACCGTCCAGACTTCTCATTCACTCCTCCTTCATAACTAAAATTATCCGCCTAAATTTATTGCATCGTAAATATACTTCTTCGTACCTATCATCTTGTCCAAGGAAAATGGTTCGTAAAAGTTGTGAGCGAGCCATTCCGGGATAAGAACAACAGATGGCGTTCAAGCTGGAGAAATAAAGTTACTTTTAAGAAAGTAGGAGTAAAATTATATTACTCACACATTATGAGTTCCATTATTTACTTCTGCAAGACCACCAGTCCACTGTAGTTCTCCAGTGCAGACAACGTCTTTGAAGGGCTTGCATTTCTATATCAAAACTATACGAGAAAGAGTAGAATTTAGAAAATATTACACATGTTTTCTAGGTATGACTGAGTGACTACAACTCCATTCTTGAAGCCTGTACCAGATTCAACAGACTATGATGTGTTTTCTTGATTTGCACATCAAATTTTAAATACATCAGGATCAATCGGTCGGGTGATCTTTAGTTTATTCTAGACCTGAACTATACAAGAGCGACGACCTTCATTAAACGCCTCGCCAAGTCCACTTAACTATCCGCCGAACAACTCATTCCTAACACCAGCTGAGTGACCAGTGCATCCGCACCTTACTGACGTCAAAATGGTACTTGGAACAGGTTTTGGAAAACGAAAGTCTACGTCACTTCTAAAAGTTGGCTATGTTTTACGGAATACAGCAAAAACACTATGCTATCGCTATGCTACTTTTGAATAGTATTAGCACTTGCTGCCAATGTGATCTCCGCGCAAAAAAACCTTATCTTCTGGGATTACTAGACGAGTGGCCCCATTCGGCTGACAATTAGTACATAATCTTCTTTGCGAAGAACACGAATCGCAAAATAACGGCGATATCATAAAGTGGCCCCAATTAGTATGCAAAGTGCACAATATGTCGTCTGCATCGCGCTCGGAAATTTTGGAACTATATTATACATAATCTGGACTATTTACAGGTGCTATTAATCGTGTTGTAAAAATGTCGGGTAAGAAAGTGAGACGACAATCGACGAAATTTTTGATAAGTTGTCATTGATGCTATTAACAGAACCATGAGGTTGAGAGTTTGTCGCTGCATAATCAGCAAAAGTCGCCAGACTGCTTTTACTTTAA